TATATTTGGCATTGAACCCTATGCATAAATACTGACTTTGGCTGCACACATAGTGTCCCGGTTTACTTTTAAATCCGTTTATATCGACAGTCCAGGTGCAGGGAATTACCCCTGTGCTCTTGGCACCCTGGGTTTCGGAGGTCTCGCTGTGCTGAGGAGGCTATTAATGGGGTGCTTAGCTCGGAGCTGTGCTCTCAGCATCCCTGGCCAGCTGCTCCGTGGAGGGTACGGACCATGAGTTTGGAATGTCGCCTGCTTTCGGGGCTGAGGCAAAGAAGCAGGAGCAGCTGCGGTGCTGCTGAGGTGAGGGATGGTGCAGACGAAGGGGACGGGGTTGCTGAGCCGGTGTGGAGGGGTAACCATGCTGTGTCTGTCTCGCCCCAACGTCTCCGTACCTGACACATAGGATATGCTGATGCGCAGCCAAAGCTTTGCTGGGCAAAGCCAGTCACCCACGAGCTCCCAGCATAGGCTGTGGCAGCCAGGTTGGCCTGAGAGCTTTGTAGAATCATAAAACAAGTTGGAAAAGCCGCTTAAGATCATCGAGTCCAACCACCATGCCCTGCTCTCCCAGCCGCTGTCAGTGTGCCTGCCCCAGTGCCGTGTCTCTTGTCATGCCCCAGAAGCATCTGCAACCAGTGTCTTTCTACAAGGTTTTTGTCGTTAAAAAGACACATGGTGGGGGAAGGGGGTGAGGTGGCAAGAAGTCAGTTACCAGGATCCTCTTGCAGTGAAGAGTGCTCTCCAGCAGGAGTCGCACACAGTTGGCACCGCTGAGAAAGCGGCATCTTCTGGAGGCAAGGATGGGACTTCCTTCAGGTGGATTTACCACCAACTGAACAGCACCATGGAGTCCAAAACATTTAGGTGAAGTGAGTTTGGTTTGAAAACGTGCCGTAGCGTCACATGTGAGCCTAGAAATTTACTCCTTTCACTCATCCCTTCCAGACTGCTGGAGTTAATGAGAACAAGTGCTAAATGATTCACCCAAGGCTGCATTGTGAGCATGTGAGAGCCCAAACTCCATTAAAAATCCCCAAATGCTCCGTGGGGTGCCCTGGCCATGGCGCATTGGTGAATTTTGAGGCTAGCAGGATAACGTGTGGTGCTGACACCAAGGTGTGCAAGAAATACCCCACCAAGGCAGTAGTAATTCAGTCTGACTGTATTCTTAGCCCTGATTTCTGCCAGTCATTGCTGACTCGGTGCGTTGTGTCCAGAGGGCTGAACAGGGAAGTGCTGTGCAGGATGCAGCATCCCAAAAGCTCTGGCCGGATCAACATGTGAGCTCACCGTCGGGCACAGCGTTCCTCCAGCAACCGTCTGTGAAGGCAGAGACACCCAACTGCAGCTTGAAGAGTATTTAACAAATTGGGAATGATCACCTTCCATCACATATATGTGACTGAATGCAGTCACGCTATATTTGGGTTGCCAAGCTTTTAACATGTGACTTCGAAAGCGTTATTTGCTGAGGAAGGAAGGTTTCCACGGGAATTGATAATAAAGGGTGTAGTAGGTTTTTGGAAAGAAAACAACTTTTGCTATGGAAAGAAAACGGCAACCCTGAAACTTTTTTGAGAAGATAAATTGGTTTCTGAAAATGGGCCGTAGCTCCTCGGTGTTTCCACAATAACTTGCTCGGCGCCTGGGGTGGCCGTCGCTGTGTTTAACGTGGCAATGGGGAGCTAAGGGAAGCAGCTGTGGCAGAAACAGGAGTCAGACTGGGCCCACACCACCTCCCAGGGCTTTCTGCCTTTCTTCGCTTCTTCTCAGGTTCTCCACTGCCCTTGTCCCCAAACACGGTGTTCTTATTGTCCGCATAAACACCATTGCCATGAAGTTCTGGTAGGGATTGCACGCTAGGACTCTGCGTGCGCTTACCAGACCCCATGAGCACTGATGAGTTACTGTTCCCACACAGATTCCCGAAGCAAACGTTACTGCCATAATCTAAAAGAGCAAAAATGTTTGGAAAACAGCAGATGCAACGGGAAAATGACACTTCCTACATGCGATAATTGCACAACCTTAACTCTGCCCTTGGAGTATGTCTGCTTCTCGCTGTATTGTTCAGGGACTCGTGTGGCGTAGAAAAAATTCTTTGGAAGTCTTCGTCTGTGCAAAGCGGCTGGTGGAGGTGCCAGCAAGGGTTAAATTACCTGTGTGGGGATGGAGGGGCCAGGTAGGGTAAGTGGATCACACACAGCTGTTAAATATGTAGAGGTGACTCTGGCAGCATGATTTGACTCCTAAAATGGGCATCAGTGGAGCAGGGAAAAACCTCCTTGGCTTGTGAGTGAGTCCAGCTCACTAGAGCTTTAAAGCACAGGGCAGGTTTATGCTTTCCTCCTGTCATGGTAGGAGCGTATCCACTCACATTGATTTGCTTTTCTTATTTTTTCCCTTGTATCCAGCCACTGGTTAACTTTGTTCTGACTGTCTTCACCCTCGCCCTGCAGCCCTGCGCGCCGGGCACAGCTCCGTGCAGCCTGCAGACATCCCTCCTGCCTGCGCTGGTTCTGGCCGGGGGATGAAGGTTACTCTTTGGTGGGAGCTGTTAGCTTGGCTTAGTCGCGACTGAGAAACTGGGAAAGCATGGTGAAAAGATGTCTGCCCTGCAAAGGCTTGCAGTTGTGGGGCTAGGAGTGGTTGACCCAACTTCTGCCTTCCTGTATCGCTCATTACACCCTGTCCTTCCCCAGCTGTCCATTGCCCCCATGCTCTCCTGCAGCCGCTGCTGAGGACCCAGTGACAGGACAAGGGGCAACGGGCACAAACTGAAGCAGAGGCAGTTCCACCTGAACATGAGGAAGAACTTCTTCCCTCTGAGGGTGACGGAGCACTGGAACAGGCTGCCCAGGGAGGTTGTGGACTCCCCTTCTCTGGAGATACT